GGAGCCCAATGTGGGGCTCGATCCCAGGACCCTGGGATCATGACCTGAACTGAAGGCAGATGCTTAACGACTGAGCCACCCAGGCGCCCCTAGAATACCAATTTATTAATAGAAGTACAACTGTTAGAGCTTCAGTTAGCCTAACTAGTGCAGTCTCCTCTCTCCCTATAGTTCTGTATGAAGGGATGGCAAATTTTCAGTAAGTTACTTCGTGATTATGGAATGAGAACAAATAGTTGATCTTATGTTTCTCAGCTGGCCCAGCTTAAAGCACTCTCAACGGGTATCTTCCTCAAAGAGTTGGCCTCTTTAACTCTTGTATTCTAAGTGCTTGCTTGCCTGACAAACCTCTTCCTTCTTTTCTCTGAAAGGAGTGCAGTTTAACACTTTGTTTTTCAAGTTGCAATACCAATGCAATTCTTCCTGTCTGAGATTCTTCCAAGGAAACTCTGGTTGAATGTTTTGATGGTTTCCAGATTCCCCCAGAATTGCATTCATTATCTGTTGCTGTTTACTAGTTTAACTCTTAGAGGGCAATCTTATTTCCAAGTTTCTTGAGAGACACTTCATTGCCAGTAGCTATTCAGATGTCAATTAGAATGAGGATTAAATGTAAAGTCAACAGATATGGTAATTAAGAAAGTCATTGGATGAGTTTGGTGCCAGGGGTTTCATTCAGTAAAATTTGTAGGAGTGAACCCCCGGGAGTAAGCAAATGAATGGAATTTTAATTCCTTCGTCAGATATTTATTGAACATCTAGGACATGCTGGGCTCTGGGAATGAAATATGAGCAAATATGGACGGGGTCCCTGCCCTGATGTGGCTTATCTGAGCTGGAAAGGTGACATTAATAGAGTAATCAGAACAATTAATGTTTAATGATACAGTGTGTGTTGCTGGGGAGCTATAGAGAGATGTGACCTGACCTAGGGTAGGGGCTCGAGAAAAGCCTGAGGCGATGACGCAGAATGGGAGATGTGAATGAATACGGTTAAGTAGGCAAAACGGAGCGGGGAGAGACTTGTGGAAGGAAGCAGCACAGAGCTTTGGAGCGCCCCAAAGAAAATATGCATGGCTACACTGCGGGGAGCGAGTAAGAGAACCGGACCAGGCGAGTCCGGGAAAGTACAAAGAGTAAAGCTCCTGGAACAGGCAGGAAACGGCGGGGAGAGGAGGCTCCACTTATAAACTACAATTCCCAGGAAGCATCTGGCAGACGGATGTGAGGTGAGGCGCGAACCGCGACCTTTGAAGGAAGAAAGGAAGTGCTTTGGCGTCGCAGAGCCAGAGAAGCAGGGTAAGGTAGGTAGGGGCGCGGTGCGGGAGGGGCGGCCGGGCCGCGGCGGGCCGCAGTAGCCGGCTGCCGAGCGCGGCGAGGCTCCGTGTCGTCATAAGGCGGCGGCCATTTTCGCGGGCGGAGGCGGCCCGAGCGGGCGCTTGGAGAGCGGGGGCGGGCGGGCCTGAGGCGGTGCGGCGGCCGGGCGGCCTCGGCCACCCGGTAATCGCATCTTCTCCCGGCGTTTCGTTTCAGAGGGAGCAGTATGTCCGCGGAAGTCCCTGAGGCAGCCTCCGCGGAGGAGCAGAAGGTGAGTGTGCACGGGGAGCGGCCCCGGGGTTCGGAAGGCCCAGAGGAGAGGCTGCCGGGCCTGCCGGGCGGCCTGCTCCAGCCGCGTGCGGAGAGGCGCGCCCGGAGTCGGCTCCGGGGCGCCTGGTGCAGAGAGCGGGAGGAGCCAGTGCGCCTCGGCCCTCCCGGCCGAGCTCTCTCCCACGTCTGCTGCCCGCTGGAACTCTGGTGCCTAGCGCCAACGTGGTGGGCGTCTGAACGTTGTCCACGTCTTCGCCGAGGCTTGCCTTGGTGTGTCGCGTTTTTCCTTACACTCGACTGTACATACGAGCAGTTTCTGTGCGTGGAACCTAAGTTTTTCCGTGAGCTTCACTTCGCGTAGGAAGTTTTATTTCTCCCTTGGAGAACTAACTCTCCAACTACTGGTATTGTCCGCATGTTCGTGTTCGCGCGGTGAGTTAGACCTCGGTTGGCATTTCAGTTCGTCTTTGTTTGCCGTGTAACCTTGACCAGTTGCTCAGCTCCTTAGTTTTCAGTCTCCTCATCTGTAAAGTAAGAATAATAATACTTCATACGGTTGTTGTGAGGCTTAAATGAGGTAGGTAACTTACAATATTTAGCGCCGTCTCTGCGCAGAAATGTGAGCCACTGCGATCTGCATATGGTTTTACTTGACTGAAAATCAAAAGCTTGGAATTTAAAATTTTTTTACCAACTTAGTTGGTCTGGATTTTCGTAGAAACAGGAATATTTTTTAAACTCACTTGTAATATTGAAGGAAAATATGCCACAAATCAGTATAATTCAAATTATGAATATTAAGGCTTTCTCTTTTATCTGTGCTAAGTTCTTTTCCCCTTCCACCATTATTATTTCTGCTGCCCCACCCTCCAAGGTTCTTGTGGCTGGCCTGCAAAGGCCCATGATACCTTGTTTATTAAATTGTTGATGGAAAGTTACCGGCACTTTTTCTTGAAAAATCAGAGGGCATTATCATAAATAGATTTGGCCTAATGCTTGGACTTTGTAAGGGCTTCTGCTTAATGTTCTACCCATGCTCCTAATCAGGTTGGAAATTTGCTTAGTGTATTAGTGTTCCAAACCCACTCCATATGTTCTTAACCATGTTAACCTTTCTTCAGTTGGATGGTTTTGTTATATTGTGAGTATTTTTTAAAAAGAAAGCAATAACATAAATAATAGGCCAAGTTACGATATTTTCGGGAATATTCCAGTGAAAATTATGTTGGATATTTTTTTACACTTAACAAAAACATGGACTTTCAGGGCATGCATATATATATAGTTTAAAGATTACAGTCTTAACTGTAACATGAAATGTCATTTATTAACTGAAAAATATTTATCGTGGTGTTCGTAATTGCTTGGGATTTAAGAACCCAGAAAAAAAATACAAACTGTCTGTGTTGTCTTGTCCTAAACATGGAAATCAATCTGTTTTGACTTCTCATGTACAATAGTGTGCTATGTAATTTTCTTTTATGAGATTTGTTAGTGTGCTGCCAGAGTGTAAAGTGTTGATTTCTACAGTGTAAATACTTTTACTTGGAACCGCCTAATATTCTGTCCCTAACAGTATTAAACATGTCTTGAATGTTTTCTCTTCATGAATGTCTACACTAAAAAGTTAATTCAAGTCCTTTGATTTTCAGGGCTACTGTCATTAATACCAAAGTGTGTGGGTAATATAATGTCCCTTCTTGAATTAGGGATTGGCTGTAGATGTTATGTGCCCGTAGCATGGATACCATCCCTAAACATGAGGAGAATGTGCAGAGTCACTTCTGTGTTCCTATGGGCCAAATCACCTGTTTCTTCTATTTGGAAGAATAGTTAGATGACCTAAAAAATTGGATTATTCTCTGTGTACCCAGTTGACCTTTCAATTAAAGTCAAAGTATTCAGCTAAAATACTTTTTTTTTTTTTTAAGATTTTACTTACTCATTTGAGACACAGAGATACAGAGAGAGAGAGAGAGCATGAGCTGGGGGAGAGGGAGGAACAGGCTTCCCGCTGAGCCAGGAGCCCAATGTGGGGCTCGATCCCAGGACCCTGGGATTATGACCCGAGCCGAAAACAGACGCTTAACCATCTGAGCCACCCAGGCGCCCCCAGCTAAGATACTTTTATAGTTTTATGGTACGGTAGCCTATTGCCTCTGAAAAATTAAGGTAAAGAGATGAGCCTGCATGGAGTAAAAGCTAAGTCACCGTTTCTCTTGAGTGCCCCTTGTAAGAGAAGAAAACCGTAGAGACCACTGTTTTTTATTGGGATATTAATTAAATCTGTACAAACATGAAAATATATAAACATCTATCTCTTTAATACTCCTTTAAAATTAAAACGGGCACGTGGAAGGTTCAGTTGGTGGAGCATGTAACTTTTGATCCTAGGGTCATGAGTTTGAGCCCCACACTGGACGTGGAGATTACTTTAATTTTTTTTTAATTAAAACAATTAAATACAAACAAAATTAGTGTAAATTATTAATTCATTGTGGCATGGTATTTTGCTGAAAGTAAATTTCCAATGTATTGAGAATGTGATAGCAATTGTTAAGTTAAAGTGTAGGAACTCTTTGAGTATGGCAAGTTAATGCCCCCCCTGGTTGTATGATGACTCAGTTCTCCTTTTTAAAGAGTAATCGGTGTGATTATTTAACTCTAAGGTCAAAAATACATCATTACATTTTAAATTCAGCTCTGTTCTTTTCTCATTATCTTGGACAGAGTACTGCTTAGTCTCTCATCATAAATGAAAGCTGAGATGGAATTCATGTAGCACTTAGAGACGGCAGTTCAGATGTGCTAGTGTGTGGTTATATTTTTTTCTTCTAGATTATCACTGAAGTGAAAACAAAACATTAAAAAAAATTTAGCAAAGACCTCTTGGATCTGTCATCTGTGAATTCCACTTTGAATAACACTAAGTTTAGTCAGACTGGTGTACGGTCTTGTCCAGGGGTGAGAAGAGGCATGTGGAGACTTAAAACACATAATTCTATGTTCATTGTGAGCATCTTAAGCTCAGGGACCCTCCTTTATTTATTTATTTTCCCATAGCATCTATCTTAACCTGATTCATTCCATTCATTTCATTGTTCAGAAAATATTGGTTGAATGAAATTTTCAGTTGAAACCATTTCTGAAGTACTATTTCAATACAGATGACAATGCTTGTACTGCAGTTTATAAAGGGGAGGGATAGACTATAGTCATATAAAAACCTTTGATTAGACCCACTTAAGAAATCTGAATGAAAGTAGAGGAATGCATATATATGTATTTTTCACATATACTAGGGTTTTTAAGTTTTTTTAAAAAGATCTCAATAGCAGGTTTTCTAGAGATTTTATTACAAGATTGTTAAATTAGTAAGATGTCTTAGAAGAAGCTAACTCAAGTAGGGCTCTCAACTAAAATATTTTTGTCAGTTTAAAAGATAATGCTTGAGGGGCGCCTGGGTGGCTCAGTTGGTTAGGCGACTGCCTTCGGCTCAGGTCATGATCCTGGAGTCCCGGGATC